ACCCCCCCCCCCCCAAAAAAAAAACAACACAACAAAAAACAAGAAGCAAACCAACCAAGACTTGAGTACCACAACGACAAGAAGTCCAGCTACTAACATCTCTCCAAACCTTCGACCCTATCCCTAACAGAATCCCATTGAAATCCCTGACTTGCAACATGTGACAACTATGTTGGGCGGCTGTTTTTGTCTCTACCACCAACAACAACAACAGTAAAAGACAAAGACGATTAAAACACGGTATCTTTCTTCAGAAGATGGGCAAGTCAAAGGTCCGTGGAACATGGTTTTATTCTTGTTTGGTATTTGGCTGTGATTTGGGGTGGTTCTAGATTCTTTGAACCAAAAGGAGTCACACAAAACAACAACCAAAAACAGCACGGGTCGGTTGATCGGGTTCCTCCCATGTTTCCTCCAGTGCGACATCTTTCAACCATCACTGGGTCCCGGAACGAGCCAACTTCATGAACCAATGATGGACAAAGGCCACTGAATGCAGTTGCAGTTGTTGCAGTTGCAGTTCTTTAGGATCTAAAGGTGGCATGTGGATTGCACCTGCCTCCGCCCGAATGGCTGGCTCCAACGAGACTCCTCGCCTAGCCCTCATCCAGCCGAACGGTGCTCTTGCGGCTCGAGACCTTGGACAGAAACACCCCCTGCCACGCCACGCCTCCCCCTGCCAAAGCCACCGCGTGGCGTACGCATGCGTACGCCCCAAAGCAGTGGCGGCTCTTGTATAGACTTTTGGTGTGGGTGGTGCGGAAGCGGAGTTAACACTTGATAGAGACTGTGACATTGCCATTGCTAACAAAACATCCAAAAACCAATGGATGCTGGGGTCTGGTGCTGATCACTTGCGGCTCGGGAACTTCATATCCCTTGGCCGAATACTGAAGGCGAGTCCTGTATAGGCTCCGGTTGCCATGGCGGGTCCCTCAGAAGAGTTGTTAGCTCCCCTGCCATTCGGACGGGAAGATCATGGAACGGAACCAGCCCACTGGGTTGGCAAATTGAAATTTATGGCCGAAAGCACTGGTCGATTCTCAGGTTCCACGTTAGGAAATGCGGGAGAGGGTTTTTTTTTGATGTTTCACCCCTGTCAAGACAAGGATGATGGTAGCCCTCCTCAGCTTGCTTCCTTGCTTTTCACTGTGACTCACTGTCTCCACAGGTAATTTCTTTTCAACACATCACAGCAAGAATATCACATCAGTCTCACCTGTATTCACCTCCCAGTCTCTCTGAACCTTTTTTTTGGGGGAGGGTCTGCTTCCACCGCTTCAACGCTGGGCCATCTCCGCTTCATCGGATCGGCGGATCTCCCGGGTTCCCGGGCGGTCCATCGGCTGGTCCGTACCATCCCCAGGCGACGGGCGCGTCGGTGCTCGGCCGTCTCGATGTCCTCGCCGAAGCCCAGGCGGTGGCCTTAGTGGTGGAGCGGTCTGAGCTCTGAACGCAGTGGAGCCGAAGGTGGTCGGCTCAGGTCTTTGAGTGAATGATTTGGGCAAGGGCACCTGTGCCAACCCGTGGGGTGATTTATTTGGGCAGTAAGTCTTAGCTTGGCAGCGAAACTTATGATGGGACACGAGAAGCTTCAATCATTGCCAGACTTCTGAGAAACTCTTATCTGCATTCCAGATCTCAATATCAGATCTCTGCCTCACTTCATCTCTTGCAACTAGCCTGGATGGGGGCCTATTCAACTGGATCTCTTGGTGCTTCTTGGGGTATTGGTCCTAAAGGGTGCAAAGTATAGTCCGGAAAATGGCAGGACATGACCACCGTCGATGTGACGACTTTGAAGACTTTGACACAAACAAAATAACCAAAAAAATGTTCCCAAAGTGAGCTGATCCAACCTATATATCCCTTTTTTGGTGATCCAGTAAGCTACACCAGTGTCACAATTTTCTCCGCAAACCCTTTTGCATCTCGTGCTCACGAACCTGTACACCATAGTACAACCAGTTGTGACAGTTTTGGCACACCTGCTAGCCGCTAGCCAAATTCCTTTAAAGGCCCGTTGAGACCATTCAGTACCATACAAGTAGCAACTCCGCTGTGTTGGGGAAAAACAGGTTCCTCTACAAACTGGGCCAGTTCATGTTTGAAGGTGGAAGGGTAGTCTGAAGAGTCGCCGAACCCACCAAACAAAATCCATCAAAATCCTATGGGACAACCCGTCCCTGTAAGAAACCCGTCCCTATCAACAATGCGGCAGTTACGGAGATTCTTATCCTGGACCCAGGCAAAGTTGGCCTGGGCCCGAACTTGACATAATAATGCTAATGTAAATTGAAACGTTTCTTCACAGCGAACATCACACGAGGTGGATTTGAATTTGCTGCTTCCAGCAGGGCGGGAGTTCTATCAGCGAAGAAGCATCCTCGACTTCAATTGGCACCGCATGAGGAACGATCTTCGGCGCTCCGGATCGGGTCTCTGGTTGTTTCCAACTCGACCACAGTTTCACTGCGATCGGCCGACATCCAAAAACACCCCACTCAGAACACTTACTTTGTTTTCGGTTCCAAATGATTTTGGATGGATTTCCTTCGACCTCGGACGCCTCCTTCTTCCGTACTCGAACAGCGACGGCGCCGACCTCATCGCCGAGTCGCAGAATCCCGCGGTGTAGAGGACAAACATGAGGGTGCTAAAGCCGGCCGCCACGGCGAAGGGTGCAAAGGGAGAGACCGTATCCTCGATGTGGCAAGCTTCGGATGAGGCGAAGTGCACATAAAAAGACATCAAAAGCTCAGAACAATGGAAACAGGCACATGTATTCAACGCAAAAGACAAGTATAATTACCAAAGGATGCCAAATAGGTTGTTTGTCAATCTTCAGAGATATTCCTGGATCCTGAAGGACATTCTGGAGTGACACTCTTGTAGGACACGCTTGTGCCACACTTTTGCTTGAAAACCTTGCGCGACACTCTTCTATACAGGAACCTTCGCAGTCGAAGACTGCCAAATGGTACCCTAAAAACGATGGTTCAAACCATTGGAAGATCCCTCGCCACACGAGTGGGAGAGTGGGAAGTTTGTTGTCTTCCCCACATCCTGCGCCGCCCTGCGCCACATCCGGGCAATCGTTACAAAAGAAGCGTCATACAGGAGCAGTGCCACAAAGCAAGAAGTGCAGCCGCCCACTGCATCGGCATTCTTGCAGTAGACCTAAAGCATAACTGTTCGGCAACCAGTTGAGACAAACAAAAACTAGACACCCAGTTGCATCAGTTGCGCTGCTAGCGGTTGCATTGTTCATCCAACATGGTTCTCGGAATTAGCAGCACACTTGATAACATTCAGCAGGAATACCAAATCCAGGAGGTTTGGAACATGTTCTTTAAAGATTCCGGGGCGCCCCCGGTGAGTTTCAATGCCTTTTGAGTCTGGCCTTTTGGTACTCTACACTGTCTCGTGCGTCAAAGACAGGCGTCTGACCCGGCCTGCAAGGTGAGGTAGACGTCCGGATCGCCCAAGGAGTAGAAGAGGTTCAAGTCCGTCACGGTCTTTGAGCAGTAGACCTGCTACGAACCCTGAGCCCTTTTTCCCACCAAAAAATGAACAGAAGAAGACTACGAGACATTAAGGAAGTGCTTGGAATCCTGCTGAGTTCCCATTGAGTTTCCTGGTCCTACTTTTGAGGTAAGCCAACAAAGTACATATCTTGCACATGTTCTAGGATGGAAAAGATTGCCACATCCTTGCTGTGCGCATGTTTGTGAAATTGTTTTGAGGCAACAATAGTGATGATGTTCTTGGGGCAAGCAGGAGCTTCGTGCAGAACTGTCTGATTCGGAAAGGAATGACTCGGAACCCCTAACCTCCCACCCACCCCCAATCTTGGATTTGCTTAAGGAACCTACACCAAATGAATATTCCGAAGGGGATTTAGCCATAGGGAAAACATCACCTTAAGCAAAACCCGGCAAGAAAGGCACCGTTTCACGGTACAAAATCTGTCCTGTCCACTTTTGGTTGCACTTTTTGAGTGGTCGTTTGCTCACCCATGAAGCGGCTGCTTTGACAGAAAAAAGACATTAAGCAATATCAGCGATAGAGTTGAGTCTTGCATTGTGCGGCAAGAACAAATAAACATACCCAGGTGTCTTGGGACAAACCTGTGAGTCCTTGATCTGGTCTGGCTGTCGATCCACAACAACTTATACTTATACTTCTTAGGGGTAGAGGATACTTCTACTAGGGGTAGGGTTGTGCCGCTGTTCCATGCAGTGCTTGCCAGCGACTTGGAATTCAGTGCCAGGAGGGCGACTCTGTACACTCAACACAAGCTGCAGGAGAGGCTCCAGGTCAAGGCTCTGAAAATATGCCAAGTGCTTTTGATACTACAGCGACATGCCAAATACTGAGAGAGTGCAACCCACCGTGAATACGGGTGGCGCGATCCTGAACACTCTGTCAACAGCTGTAAACAGTAGGATCAATACAGTCAACACATCTAACAAGTTGTTGTTGATATCAACTAACATGAACGTTGACTCTAGTACAAATTACAATGCCCTCTTTGAACAGTGGAATGATATAGTATATGATGATCCTCCTCCCAAAAAACTGGAAATCCATGAACACGAAACCAAACCAAGCGAACAACTCTGAGGCGCCCACTGGGCTGAATTCCCTTGCATGGCCCTGTTCCTCTTGGTGAACTGTGCTTTTACGCGCCTCGCTGCGTTCCCCTTTTCCTTTCCTTTCCGGCTGTCTCCGACCCCATCATGGTGGCAACTCTTCTCTCCGACCGAGTCGCAAAGACGGTGCCCATGAGGATCTGGGCAATCACTGCTACAGCCAAGGGCGGAGCGCACATCCCAGCACTACCTGGAATTGTGAGGTGAACTGCAAGAGTGTCAAGTGACGTCTTTGTCCAGATGCACCGCTGTTCGCCAAACACACAAAGAAACACAAGGGCACAATTCAAATCCCAGTCTTGGCGAATAAATAACTGTGGCAGCTGTGGTGTTCATGCTGAAGGCCAGGATGATCACAATCATAAACCCAAAGGAAGAGCAAATACCAATAAATTGTTGCAGAAATTGTTCTAACTTGAGAAGGGGAAACAAGAAAGGTAAATAAAGGTAGAGGTATTGACAAGGGGAAAAAACTGGAGGTAGCTCGGCGCAGTAGACTTCTCCAGCATACATCGGCAAAGCGGATGCGTGCGTGCATGCGTGCGTGCGTGCGTGGGTCTGTTAGTGTCTGTCTGTCTGTCTGTTTGTCTGTCTGTCTGTCTGTCTGTCCGGTAGCGTGTCGTGTCGTATAAGTGGTCGTAGTCATGAGGGGAGGTTGGTAAGGCATGTGGTGTGGTCAGGTGTGATACCCCGCGTGGTGATCATGGTGGCTGGGGCTTGTGCAGAAGCTTTGCTGTGTAAACGCCGATTTGTGTGGAAGCTGTGGTGTGTAAATGCAATCTCGTGTAAATGCTGGTGTGTGTATCAGCTGGCTGTGGTGGGCAAGAACTTGCTTGTGTAAAAACTGTGCTGTGCAAACACTGCGTGGTGTGTACACGCCGCTTTGTGTAGTCGATCTGTGTAGAAGCTATAGGGTGTGTAACCGCTGGTTTGTGTAAATGTGGTGTCCAAAGGCTGGACTGGGTAACAGCTGTGGTTTGTAAGAACTGCTTTGTTTGCGCCAAAGGCTGTACTGTCGTGTAAACGCTGGCTGTTGTGTTAAAGCCTGCTGTGCGAACACTGGCTGTAGTGTGTCAAACGCTGGTGTGTAAAAGTGCTTTGTGGTTTGAGAGAAATGCTTTGTGTAAAAGCTGTGGCTGGTCGTTGCGGTGCTGGTCCTGCTTGTGCTGCTGGTGGTCGTGGTGTTGGTGGTGGCATAGAATTGATATATATATATATATGTCATACACAAACACACACATAATATATATATATACACACTCCCGAAAACTAACATGGTCCCCCGAAGGACAGTTTTCCTCTACAAACCAATCGTTTTCACGGTCCATATGGGTTTTCAGCGGAGTATACGCGTAAATTGACGACCAACATGCGACCGTGATACTTACTGCATCTTACAGTATCAGGCTTCTGCACTAGGTCACTAGGTGGAAGCCATGACATTCCAAATGTTCAAACCCACTGCACAGCAGTACGTATGCGCCACTGAGTCCATAATATCTGCAGTTTGTCACCCATGAGGTCAGCACCACTGGGGCATCTGTAACAGTTACCAACAGTGCCGGCTCAGTTCTCAAAAAGCTGGCACACCCAGAACTGCCAAATTTCCGTTGGTGAACCCGCTGCCACAACCCCCCCCGAATCTGACTTGACTTGGAGACATACCCCACTATCTGCAAATCCAGATGCATAAAATCCAGAAGAAGAGGAGCCAGGAGAGGTTGTACGGCTGCCGTGTCCAACGTTCAAAGCAACCGGCATTCATCGGGTCCTCAGAGGGACCTGAGCTGGAGAATCATGAGGATCCCAAGGGGGGATTGCAATGGCTCAAGAAGCTTCAAAATACGTGGCAAAACGATGAACACACGTTTATTGAAGGAGCATGTGGGCAATGCACCGCCTCATATGTCATAAGCATATCATTGCATCTCAAGAAGTGATTTCCCGTTGCTTTGCCCGAAAATGTCTCCAAGACGCCTGTGCTTGTTCCACACACTTCGAGCGACGCACTCCCGTCTCTCCCGGGGGCTCCCGGTGCTGAGCTCCCGGGCCATAGAGGGCCATGAGCTTAATCATCACGGCCGCAAAGAGATCGCCGGCGGTCTGGCACAAGGAAGCCCAAGTGGCCGAAGTCCAACCGTGGTACTCCTGGAGTGGAACAAGGTGAAGACGACGAACGGGGCGATCGGACGCCATCGCGACACGAACGGAGCGATCGGACGCTACAAGGCAGTATCTCCTGGCCTCGCTACGAACGGAGCAAGTACAGCTACTAGCACGAGGAGGAGTTCTGCGGACGAGAGTGCCAAGGAGTTCAGCGGAGAGGAAGCGGCGCAGTAGAAGACGCCATACCAAGCAGAGCGGGTGAGGAAAAACACAAGTGATTTCAGGTGTGGGACAAAAAGTTAGGGATGGACTTTGGTGGAGACCACATGTGCTCACAACCAAACCTTCGAAAGGGAGTCAGTGATGTTCAGTGTAGGCATTACTTGTGGTGGGAGCCGGATATATGAAGCACCAACCAACGGTCCAGGCTGCCTAGCAGAAAGACCATCCAAACCCTAGCATTCAATGCATCAATGCATCACATCTCTAGTAAAGGAGGTTCTTTCGGCCCCCTGTGCTACTCCAACAATGGTAGAAATGAACCGAACAGCCTTCCTGCACTCATCTAACTGGGTCCATTTTGGTACCGGACTGGGTCGGCATCTTGGGGAGCCCCACCCACATCACTCACCAGAAGGAAAGGACAACCAGTTTCCAAAACCTTTGAGCCGTGATCACAACTGCAGTGGGAGCTTCCCAATGGCTCAATTGTCCAGCAATCAATCGGCAGGCTGAGAAACCTGGTTTGATCTGGTTTATAGGCACCTGTTACCTGGCTTGCACGGAAAGGTAGAGCTTACTCAAACAATGAAGTGAGGCCCTAGGAGCGGGGTTCCCGCCGCCTTTCAAGGGGGCCATGGCGGGCATGGTTGGAGAGATAATACATGCTCTGCAGGTTCAAGCGGCCATTCCTTAAGCTGCACTCGCTATTTGCCTCGCCTTGCTCGCTACTTGTTGACTGAGATAGGCAGGGAACCTTTCTACAAGTGCTTGGTGAATGGTCGTGTCGACACAGGATAACCGCTTTCCAGAAAAAGTTCTGGCCAATTATTCAACTGCATTCTTGGATTGTCCAGAATGCTCCACAATTAGTTTGGTCCATCTGTCTCCTGATTGTTTCTGTTCTTCAACGTCACTACGAAATGATTTCACCTGACTTATCCCACATTGCCCAAACCCTTGAATTTAACGATGAAGCAAATGAACATTTATATACATTTATATACTTACTGCTTTGGCAGTTTGCCCATTCACGGAGACTGCATTCCCAGATTCAAAACCATTTGAGAGCGGGGTGGTGCGGTGGTGCATGTGCAAGCCCAGGCGCTGCCTTACAACCATAGGTGTTCCTGTTGAACAAGTGTATGTTGTATGAGAGTGATACGTGAATACATGAAAATAAACTCCCACTCCTTGAAGAAAATTGCGAAGGTGCCGTATTCCATGGCATAGCTGAGATAGTTGTTCAAGCTGCAAAGCACCTGACTAACTCCAGCAAATATTTGGCAAACATTCCTCGACCAGGTGTCGTACAAACAGGAGAAAAAAGAAACTGTTTTGTTCTGAGCTTCATTCAGGACATCGTAGAACATGAAGCTTTGAGTTCAATTTGCAACCTAAACTACTCAAGGGAGAACCGGCATCTCAAACATAAAACGAGTCCTGCGTATTCCTCACATCCTCCAAGGACAAAACCAGAATTTGACCCATCCAAAACACTGCCCCAAGAATCCAATGACAGTACTTAGGGGTGCCAGCCTCATAGATTTTGGCATATCTTCCCCAAGTGCGACAGTCTTTCATGCAGACTGCAGTCTTCGACGATTTTGGAGTCCGAGTCTTGTGTTACTCCTCCTGCAATATAATGTATTGCTGGAGGCTCAAAATCCGTTGTCCTGAGTATGCACAACTACTTCTTCCAACAAAAAGTGTTCTTTTGTGTTTTATAAAAATGGCGCGAGAACACCTGCTGTTCAGCAGCAAACATACCTCGCGATACAATACACAACTAAGCGCTCACACGGTGCAACATGCATGTTACCAACACCATTGAGTGCACGGAGGGTTGAACAAAAAAGAACGTACATAACGGGACGTTCTCCATGAAACTAGAAGAGAAACACTGTATATACTTTCACTAAATGAAACGTGCATACAACATCTTACAAATCAGTGGAGCCAGGTATTCATCTGGGGGAGGGAGTTAAGCACCCACAGCCTCAAAAAGCATAGATAGATATGGAAAAAACAACATAGAGACATGGAGCCCCAACAAAAACACCTACAAGATGGTCACAGTGGTTTCGGGGAACATCCAGCCCCACCCGTCGGACAAATGACACAAAAAAAGACCAGCTTGAAACGTTGAGTCCCAACACGTCCCAACATCCAGCCAGGAGACCAGTAAGAAAGCGGGAAGCCACAAATCCTTCTTAAGGCCTTTCTTTTTCGGCTTGGCCTCCTGACGACGAGGCGAAGACGAAACAGGGGCCCGAACGAACGGTTGATGCCAGTTTCGCACCGTTCGTCGCGTCCGAATTCCGTTCGAGCCAGGCCAGGAGCCCCGAAGGCTTAGTAGCTTCAATTGTTACTATTAGTGTACGAATGCTCCTCGATTCTAGGATTTCAAGGTCAAACATCCAATATTCCACCTGCTGGAGACCCGCCAGTCATTACAGTAAACAAAGGCCTATGGCAACCATGAGCTCATCCGCTGTGATAGTTCTGGGACTCCAGCCACTTGCGACTCATCCTCATCACAATCCCCATGCTCATTTGTGTCCCCCTTCGCTGGATTTGTCCCCCTACCCTCTTGGTGCCAAAACCATTCCTAATTCCTTGGGCCTCTGAATGCCCCAAGACATGCGACCACAAGACCTGGCTTCTCCGAACGCCTCCGGTCGCAACTGCTGGAGCTCCTCCTGGCCGCCAGGCACTACAGGCTCCTCGTCCAGATCCTCGTCCTCATCCTCCTGGTCCTGCAAGCCTTGCAGAATAATGACATGGTATTTGGCTGTTGGCTCAATATCTGCCAAGTTTGCCTTAGTCTAGTCCATTATGCTTTGTGAGGGTCAAAGGTCTTGGCAAATCTCTGCTGCAGTGGGACGTCTGTGCGCATGTAAAGCCTTCTAATCGATCGTTCGAATAAGGTCCATAGTATGCACATTATAGGTCTCGACGCGCATAGTCCGAACCTGTACCAAAGCCCCCCTAGTTTCTTAGAGAATAAGAATCGTCCATTCGTAGTCTTGCCGCGTGTGTATAATATATACAATTAATATATATATATATATATGAATAGTGCGTTGGATTCTGTCCGATCATGTTGTCTGATCTGACACCATAGCAGCCATCATTCATTGCGAGCCTTAAGCAATCTTGTCAAAGACCCCACCGTGGGAGGGGCTCTAGTAGTTGTACCGCGCTATTATAAAGGGAACACCAAGTGGTGCAACGACAAAAACATCCCCTTGACCCGCGCGCTGTGGCGCGCAGCGCCTGCTCTCTGTGCGATTTGGGGTCGCAAGGCGCCCGTGGCCATGAAATGGTGCTGAAAATCATCCTCGGCGACTAGACAGAAAGGTGCTCCAGGAGTGCTCCTGTTAATGTTTGGATTGGTTCCGCAGGTCCAAATTGTTGCTTCTTGGCTGTCTCTCTTGCGGGGTTGTCCTCTACAAACGGCCACATGAATACCCTACAATCACCGCTGGTTGATTCTCGCACATGGGACGGATGCCCATCAATCTGTCTCCTTTTCAAGCATTTGAGGGGCTTCTCTTAAAGGACGCATAGCATTAAGAAACATGTCCTTTTGTGGGGCTCACGGGCCTGGCCGATCAAGCATAGAATTATCTGACATTGGTGCCTTAGGCGCTAGCCTATAGCCCGATATGAGGAGGCTGTTCAATTCAATTCGCAAGGTGATGAATCAAGAGCCTACATCCAAAAAGAACCTCCTGGTCCTTGCCGAGTCTCACACGTACGTGTGTGATGGATGGCTAGGAGATTTTCTTTGAGTGCGTGAACGTCGCCCATGATGGTGTGGGGACGCCAGGGAGCTTCTGGGCGAATATAGGGAAACCATGTGAAACCTTGAGGTGGACTGGCATTCTACTGGGGGCCCCCAGTAGGGGGCCCACAGAGGATGAAAGAGAGCACATCTCATATCACTCCATCCGTTGAAAGAGAGCATCCATTGCTGAGAGAGTCGGATGAAGAATCACTTGTCTATACTTGCTGCTTGGAGAGTCGGATTCGTGCTCCATCACTCACGGTGTTTTGTTGTGTGAAAACACACCCGATCCCGATCCGAAGAATCCGATCTTTTTCGATGCAAACAAGGTGGTGGCCTATCAATCAGGAGTCTACATTCATTAGCATTAGACATTGAATCAGTTGTTGCTTCAAAAACATGGATTCTGTTCCGCAACCACTGGCTGCACCCTGCATCCGTTCCGCAACTTATCCCGTTCTGCCGCTTGAGGCACGTTCTCCGCCAAGCTCATCACAGCCGTCAGCTTGCTCACGGCGCTCATGCGGCTGCGGTGGGAGGCTGCGCTCATACGGCTCATGTTGGTGTTTCGCGTGGCAAAGGTCACACCGCTCTTCCTGCGAACGGGAGCTTCATCGCCCCACACCCGGCTGGTATTTTGGGCGGATGCCATGCCAACGAGTTCGGCACCGCACGGAACGCCTCCGGGCACGGGGTACGTGTTGGAAGATCGGTTCAAGCGCTGAACAAACGAACTTCTGAGGGTGGTTTTTGGATGGCGCCATGAGAGGTCTGCACCGGTCACACGAATCAAGGTCACACGAATCGAGGTCACACCACGTGTTCGGCGAAGCCCCTTCTGGAAGTCAGGAGGTTGTTTAAAATCATGCTTAGGCAGTTGAAAAGCCTGAATCCCGCAAATGAAGTCCCATGGTTCACCATGACTTGGCACCAAACATTAACGCCCGGGTTGATCGTCACCCACATCATCCCACAGGGTAACCGGGCGTGACATGGACTGGACGTTCATTTTCCAGGGTGTCTCCCCAGGGCTCGAAGCCTGGTGAGATCGTGCAAGCCATCGGATCACAAAGAACATGCATGCATTCTTTCACCAACCAACAAGTGCCACGCTACTAGTAACAAGTGCCTTACCAGTAGTAACAAAAAGCTAGTAGTAACAAGTGCCACGCTACTAGTAACAAGTGCCTTACTAGTAGTAACAAGGAGCTATTAGAAACAAGTGCCACGCTACTAGTAACAAGTGCCTTACTAGTAGTAACAA